TATGTATATGTATGTATGTATATGCATATATGTATATGCATGTGTATATATATGTATGTATATATGTGTATATGTATATATACATATATATATATGTGTGTGTATATATATATATTTATATTATAATAGTATCAGATTCATACGACTTACGCTGCTGAGGAAGGACATTAATAATAATAATAATAATAATAATAATAATAATAATAATAATAATAATAATAATAATAATAATAATAATAATAATAATAATAATAATAATAATAATAATAATAATAATAATGAAAACTTCAAATATTAAAGGGAATTATAATATATATAAATAATTATCCATTCACTAAAAAATAGCCTATGGCCTGTGCACATTATGAGGAGAGATTATAAGACAGTAAAAATTAATTAAATTTTAATATAGGCCTAGTATAGTGAAATAATAAAGATCTTTAAGATGAATTGATTTAACAGCGGAGCTGAGAGGTATGCGAAGGTCTTTTATTAATAGGCCTAGATCTTTGAGCTTTTTTACGAAATGAGACGACTTAGTGAATTCCTATGATATAAAATTATGAAGCATTTATCACTCTCATTACTACACTGTTTAATTAATTAACAAAATTGTATTTATATTTTCACCTCCACCTACATAGTTTTGCATTTTGCTAAATGAAAAAACAAAATTTATACACGAAATCTATGTAAGCATACACAATTAAAGGTCTTTGAAAATCATTTACATGGGCCATTAATAAAGATAATACTCAAATATTTATATAGCCCCAGTTCCAAATTGAATGACCGAAGGCAAACCAACACAGTGCAACCTTCTTTGCTCCCCGCGCACGAAACTAGTACATTAAATGCACGAAACTAGTACACTAAATACTTCTTTTGTATTTTAATTAATTTTTTCGATACTACATTAACAATTGGTTGTACCGATTTATTATACTTTCATTTTAGCTAGACCTAATTTTGCATCTTATCTGTATGAAAAAAAAGGTAACTAAGCCACAACTGGGACCAGAACATCCTACCAGGTACCATTTTAAAAATAGAGATAAACGTAGAAAAAAATGCCTTGCCCAAGGACACAAGCGACTTGCACATCAAGTGTTTCGAACCCCTGACCTCTGCAGAACCGATGCGCCAACCGCCTCCGAATTACCCGGCTTGTTGTCTAAGGGTTTTTTCCATATGCTTATATAATATTATAATGTATTACACAGGGAAAAAAAATATGTGGTCCAGTTTGTAACAGTCACAAATCAGCTTATGGGGTCGGCTATGAGATGGCGGGTTTGAACTCTCAGGCCATTATATTGGAATTACTTTCGCAATCTTTTAAGATAGTCAGGAAAATTCTATTAAGTATAGAGATATTTAGTATGTCATGGGATACTGGAAATAAAATAATGAATTGAATTTTGTTACTTTGTTAGAATAATCACCGGGAATTTTGTTGTACATTTGAACTAAAATCTGGACCACATATTTTTCCTGTGCAATAGATGCGAAAATATAATATAATATTATATAAGCATATGGGAATAACCCCAAGACAACAAGCCGGATAATGTAGATCACCATGATTCATTAATATTACGCGATGGCAAAACAATTACCATTGTCAAATAGGCCTACTGTATATATGTATTCAAGATTCAAGATTCCTTTATTATCATCAACCAAACATGTGATAAATGATTTTTTTTTGCTTGCTGCATACAATGAAAGACATAGATAGTAAAATATAACAAAAAGAAAACATCGAAAAACAACAAACGGATACAATTCGATAATTAATGTACTTATCTACTAAAGTTATCTGGCGAAACTATCATTAAATTCGAACCTGCAACTTCTCGCTAAAAAAGGACACTTTTTCCCATACTTATGAATTAAGGAACTTTTCGTTGAAGGGCTGTTTGATACTATTATAACACCTTGTTCCTTTTGCTATTATTTATGTATCTACTTTTTTATACTGTGTTTACGGTGCTTACGCAGCAAACCTCTGTATATGTATTCGAAAAAGTAAAGATCAATGAATAAATTGCTGGAACTACGAGCCCAAACCGTAAACATTTGGACATTGCAAACTGTCCCCTACCAATTTGTCCCTCTCTATTCATGCATACTCGAATATCGAAGCCCCGCCTTGCTGAAAAAAAAAATTAAGGTGTCTTCCAATTGTCTTTGTTATATGAATAAAAATTTCTCAATTCAGCAATAGGGCTGGATATGTTTTTGTTATTTGATTTTTTTTTTTTTTTTTACTTTTAATTTCAGGCAGATGTTAATACCAGATTTTAACAATGTCCCTGCACAAACATTACAATGGAAATATAAGACAGTCCACATAAACAATACTGTATACAATTAAGGTAATACAGAAAATATTAAAGAAAATGTTAAAAAGTCATGTATCAAACAATATGTGGTGGCGGTTATTAACTCTATTTTAGATCTACTCCCAACGTGTCACCAGCTGAAAATGTTTGGGAATCAAGGCATGGCTTTTGTAGTATTATGAATCTTAAAATAACAGGTGTCATAGCGGAAATATAGTCCGATGGGAAAGACCCTTCGTATTATCACATAGGAATCAAAATATGTCAATTTTTAATCGCAAGCTAATTAATGCTGGCCTTAGTACGGAAATTATCAAGTGCATTTCTTCGAATCTATGTTACAATACGGATATGGATATTGGCGTAGACCACAAAACTATAGGCCTACGTAATTTTCATTATAATAAGATCAACATCTTCAAAACACATCCGAATGTTATAAAAGTTATGAAACCTAGCGAATGTCTTCAGAATCATTTTTGGAGCTCAACGATTTGTTGCAGTCAAATCTGTGCACATTCGGAAATTTTTTATTTTTTAGCTTACACTCGAACGACTGTGAAAGTAGGTAAGCTTATGGTTTGCAATATGTTGTTTGATTGACTCTTCTGCATTTGGTATTATTATTATTATTATTAGGCCTATTATCATTATTATTATTATTATTATTATTATTATTATTATTATTATTATTATTATTATTATTATTATTATTATTATTATTATTATTATCATCATTATTATTATCATTGCTATTGAAACAATTATTGTCATGAACCAAACTTCTCTATTTACTGAAGATTATTAATAGTCTAGACTATTCTTAACCTAACGCATTCGACAATTTTTTTGAATTACACAATATAAACCTTTGTAAAAACGTACGTTTTGTCATAGTGATTCTACAGTATTTTTATTTAACGTGCAGATATAGTACGTATATTCTCCACAACATCAGACGATACCATGTCAATATTAACATTGTGGCCTTTGGGGCGCCAGCCCCAGGCCCACAGGCCCCAGTGGGGGAAAATCACCTAAAATCTGGTTTTATGTTTTAGCCACAGAGTATAGGCCCACTTGCAATAACAGCTCCAGGCCCCACAGCCCTTTAATCCTGCCCTGTAGAATTGTGGACCCCGCCCGACAGCACGCAGTGTAAATTGCAGTGAAGGCACTGCAACGACAGTAGCGATATTATGAAAACCCATGTGAACCAATTTTATTAATACATTAAAATAATACGGTAATCACATGTTGCCTTAATTTCTATCTTCAGACAATGCATATAAAGACGTGTATACTACTCCTAGCTTACGTTGTGGTTTCTAAAACATCATTCCTGTCGACAACACAATGTCAGAATGGGATCTCAAGTAACGGCACATTGATACCTCGAATAACATTCCCAAGTAATGGAGCAGTAGATGAACTCGTTGCAGATGATCAATTGTTTGATATTGATAATGTTAGTCATTGCCCCGTTCCTTTACGAACTGACTACTCCGTGGAGCGTACCTCTCCGTGTGTCTGGAGAACTTTGATCGACAACGACACAAACAGGTAAAGCTTATTTCTTCTTTTTTTTTTTTATTAATGAATCATTTTCGCTGCTACCATGTCTATAGTTAATACTGCTTATGGTTATTGACATTTAGGCACTGTGTTAACAC